ATGCCAGCTGTATCATCCACTGATACTAACCCACCTACATATGTGTCATCGCCAGCTCCTTCTATAGCAGCAAAAAGCCAAAGTGGTCTTCAGGGCTCCTCCATTTGTGATACAGGAAACGGTGAGGAGAAAAATGAGGAGTCAAAAATAGGAGCAAGTCTGTTCCTCACAGACAAGATGAATGAGCACGAAAACAAAACAAATTCCCATATTCTCTCCAGCCCAGGGAATCTGGAATCTGATCAGCAATGGGTAATTTGGGTACCTCCCCAGAAGGCACTGGCCTAGAAAGTCTTATCTTTGCATTTTTATAAAGATCCTTGGATGAATGGTATCTGCTAAACTTTTTGCAAACCAAGTAAATGACTTTTTAGTGGGACAAGGCTTCTTCATTAATTTTCCAAATAAAAGTACCTTGCAGGTTTTAAGTAAGCATCACGAGTATTAAAAAGTTTAACTACAAGATGTTCTTCTATGGTGTCATTCTCTTAAAATAGAACCCTCCTAAAAACTCCTAAAAATAAGTCTGCATAGTTTCATTTCATTTTCGAAGAAGGAGATAAACATATCAAAACAAACAGCTTCTTTTTAAAAGAGTCTCTCTGCTACACGGGGCTCACCGATCAAAGTCTAAAAGGGCCAATTTCTTCACCTCACAGGTCGATGACACAGCTTTGAAAAAGAAGAAAAACAGTCCCCCTGGTGTACTGCTGCTGTAGAAAGAGGAAGTATGTTAGTTGAGAATCACTGACGAAGACAGTACTGCCAAAGGAAATTACAAAACAGCATTTTAGCAACAGGGGCCAAGCTGAAGACAGATTCCTCATACATGGCATGATCATAACTGGCCCTTTACTCCAAAAGGTGACTGAGGTCAAAATTAGAGGCCAAAATGGAATTATTATGAGTCTGTCATTTTGAAATTGTTAAAAATATTTTTAAACGTCAAAGTTGCAGTTAAAATAACATTTTTTAAACACAGTATGTTGAAAAGGAACTGGGTGCGTTCATCTAAAAAGCTAGAACAGTGAGGACGTGAGCAAGCTTTATGCGGCAGGTCAGCCCTCATCTTTCAACCTTGGGAAGTATTGGTGAGAGGACACATTCTCACATGAAGGAAGACTCGGTCTCTTGAAGAACCATCCTCTGCAGCAGCAGCCGAAGTCCTCACACAGTATCTTACATTTATGAAATTGTAGGAACCACCACAGAAACTCATTGCTGCCTAACGTGACTGTGCCCTGACCCACGGGAACCACAGATGTGTGGACCTGTGTAGGAGAATCAGTAATAAATGGGCCTTACCAGGTAAACCCTGGAGTCCTAGAGGTCTGCCTGAGACAGGTGGAAACAGATAACTCACCAGCTCAATTACAGGTGCCATGCAAGTAAGCTGAATCTGAATTAAAGGAAAGGTAACCTTTTCCCCTCTTAACCACATCTGATTATTCATTTCTACTTTCATGCCCGAAGTAAGGGAACCTGCAAGATAGCCATCACCTTTCTCCCTGGCACAGTTTGCATCCGACAAACTTCAGTTAACCAAGAGCTTCCTCCTTTTGTTAAAATGCTCTCTTTTTTGCCTCCTTTGTCACTTCATAGTTCCTAAGTACCCATCCTGATAGGCACCAGACAGCTTTCAAAACACTGTGCACTCACTCAGCCTCCATCAATAATCAGCCATCTTCCGATGTTGAAACAATAACCAAGATTTTTTAGATTGAGAGGCAAATATGCTTTTCAGGAAAACAACTTCTAATTACATAAGACTACTCAGTATTTAATAAATAACCTTTAAAAAGGATCAATTTAAAGAGAAAAACAGTGTGAAAAAGATCTCTAGAACCACGGCTACTAACTACCTCTGTACTAACTAGCTGTGTGACCTTAGAAAAGTCGTTAACTTGAAGAATCAAGTTCTTCACCTATAAAATAAGGGGGTTGAAGGAGATCTGCAAACCTCATCCTGGCTGTACATTAAAATCACCTGAGAAACTTCAAAATAAAACTAAAACAACCCCACCAACCAATGCCCACACATCAGCCCAGTTAAATCAGGTTCTCTGGGCACTGGTATTTTTTAAAAGCTCCCAGGTAATTCTAACATGCAACCAGGATTTTGAGCCACTGGTCTCAATTCTGATCGCTAAGGCCTCTTTTCTAATTCAGTCTACGATCTTAAGAGTGATAATTCTGGATAAAAGATCTCATAATACAATAGCCCAAAAAGCTACAAAAGAAGTAAGGCCTAGACCCTGCATATTATGCCTATGTGCACACATGACTAGGAGAGGTTAACCTGAATTCTAGACATTTTTAGAAGTTAGAAACCTGCATGCATAACTCAGAATGAAAGTAGTGTGGTTTAAATGCACATGCATGCTTCCAAAATGAATAATCATGATAGAAATCAACTCCTGAAACTCGGATGCATGGAAATGGGTCACAATTAGCTCCTGACTTCTCCCTTGTCCCTCTTCTTCCACCCCCCACTAAACCACAAGCACAAAAAAGCTTGGCTATTAGTCATAATCGGAATGTGAAACCAGCAGCCCCAGTTTCAAAGGGCATTCTCCATCATCAAAGATTTGGAAGTTCCTGCATGGCTGCATCTTTTGATAAAGGTCATCTTACAAAAATTCTTCAACTAAATTATATCCCTATAGTCTTCAAGGATTAGTTTTTGTGTGATACTCAGAAACAGAATTGGTGTAAAATTTTCAAGTAAAAATACTCATAGAATATGTGCCCTGTATTAAACATATTAGGGCTGGGCAGTTTCAATTCACAATATTTAATAGAATTTTAGTTAAAGAAAGATGAGATAACAGAGAAGGAAAAAAGAAACCATGAGACCAAAAATAGGACAGAAAACCACAAAGTTTATGACTAGGCCCAAAATCTCTATTGCAAATCCTGCAAGCTACATGAAAACATAATTAATCCAGTCTCAACTTATGGCTACTTTTGGTAATACCACTTTCTCACATAAATCTTAAATTCAGATACTATAAAAAATTCAAATACTATAAACTGGTATTATCTTCAACTATAAACACAATGCAAGAAACATTATTTGTGGAGTTTAAATTACTTTCATAATCTTAAAAATAATAAGAAAGGTAAAAACCCTTCCTATGTTAACTTTTAAACTAACTTAAAGCTAACTTTTAACTAACAGATTTTCTGCCAAATTCAAAATATGCAGAACTAAATTTCAAGTGTGAGAAATTTGGAAAATATCCCACCACCCCCCAAAATCCATCTTCTTAGATCCCATAAATTCACCCTTTCCTAACACTGAACCTTGAGATTAACCCTCACCATCCACTTGGAAACTCAATTTTTAAAGGTATCACATTAGCACTGTTTTGAAACAGAACTCTCATCTGTTTCATAAATATCTCTCATATCACACAACTCATATCCCTTGGCAAAGCAATAAAATTAAATCAAATGTAAGATTCATAATATCAGCATTTGTTCAAGGATGAGCTACATCTGTGGAATAATATCAAAGCACACATTTTGCTTTTAAAGTATCTAAACAAGCCCTTCCCAATACTAGCCATAAAAATAATTTTTAAAGGCACTTTGCAAGATTTTTTTAAAGCAAATTAAAAGTTAATAACACTAAATTCTTTAGCTTTTTCATACAATGAGTCTTCTTCAGTGTTTCAGTTCTCCGCCTAAGGTCAAGTTATTCTTATTTTACACACCCACTGGAACCCAGGAAGTACAGGGCTCCCCAAAGACAACGAAGGAAAGGACAGAAGGAGAAAGCAACTACCTCTTTAATTAAAATAAAATTTAAAAAAAGCTAACTTGTTAATAGAAGCAACTGACAAAAGATATATGTATCTCCAACTGCACAAGGCACAGGGCTCTCTTTTGCCTGGTACACATTCATATCTTAGCAGACGGGACCAGGAGGATGAGGTGCAAGAGCAAAGCAGCTGGGTATCAGCAGCCCCGCAGGGGGACAGGAGTTAATATCTTTGGATGCCCAACTGCAGGAAGTCATTACATCATAGGCCTTTCCACACCTCTCTCCCTACCACGTGTCCAGTGCCCCAAGAGGCAGAAAAGGAGCAGTAGAGAGCCTCTCTTCGGGTTCACTTATAATAATAGGTAGAAGCCATTACAGTCCAGCCCTGCCAGCAAACCTCCCTCCCAAAGGCTTAAGTGAAGCACCAGGCCCCGGTCCTCCACACCTGGATCCCCTGCCTCAGACAGGGCCAGAGTCCAGGCCTCAGAGGGGAAGCAGCAGGTGCAGCTAGTCCCTGTCGAGGTGGCAGGGCTGGCCCGTTCCAGGTCCCAAATCATCTCAGAGGCTACTCCGAGGCAGGTTTGCTGTTGAGACATCTCTGAGGAATAAAGGTGTCAACACAGGCAAGGAAAGAGAACCGGCCAAGAAAAGGTTTACAACCACTGCTTTTTGTCATGGGATCGATGTGCCTGTGGGAATTAATTAACACCCACAACCCCGAAACTTGGACACAAGGGTTCTCATCCAGCTAGTCACAACACACCATGCTCCTGCGACCTACTGGAAACCACACATCCAACCTCACCTCCGGGCACCGATTCCCAAACACGTCCCCTCACTCCACCCGCAGCGGCCTCGCGTGCACCCACTACCGGGAAATCGACTCCAAAGTTGGCCGAGGACCTACCTCCTCTGCGATGACCCAGGAATCCGGCAAATGCACTCCTGTTCGTCTGTCCTTCCCTCGCCAGCATCCCTCGCGCCCTCTCCTCACCTGGCCATGCCCGAGGCTTCCCCAGGAGCCTCCTCTCCCCCTCCCGCCGCCTGCGCAGCCATCCCCAGGTTCCCCTCCTCCCGGGTCACACAGAACCCCCAAAGCCTCACAGCGGAGGCTCTCCCTGCCAACCCCTTTCCCCGGCGCCCGTAGGCGCGCTCCGACGAATCGAAGGCACATCTCGCAATGCGCAGGAGGCCCGGCGGGTCTGGCCGCCCGCCCCAGGTGAGTACGCACCTTCCAGCCGGCAGAGCTGTTGCTGTCGCCCTTATCCTTGAAGTAGGGCACGCAGCGCACCATCCACTCGTAGATCTGGGACAGAGTGAGACGTTTGTCCGGGGAGCTCTCGATGGCGCGAGTGATCAGGTCAGCGTATGACAGGTTCCCCCAGGCGTTCCGTCGCGACGAGCATTTCCTCGGCTGCCCGGAGCCCCCAGCCGCCCCCGGCTGCGGCGGTGGCAGTGTCTGCTGAGGCTGCAGCGGCGTCTGCGTCCCCCCGCTCAGCGCGCCCGCCGCGGGGGCTGGCCCGGACCCGGGGTCCTGCCCTCCCGGAGCTAGCAGCCGAGCCGAGTCCTCCAGGAGCAGCCCTGAGCCCAGCGGGCCGCCCGCGCCGCCGCCGATCGCCATGGCCGAGCCGGCCCTACCGCCGCCGTCCTCGTCGTCTTCATCGTCCTCCTCCTCGGGGATCATGGAGTCAGCGGCCGCCTCCCCCGAGGGCTTGGCCGGGCTCCCCTGGAGCTCCGGCCTCTGCAGGGGCCACGTACAGGAGCGCGGCCGGCTTTGGGGCTCGAACTCCGGGTCCAGCTCCACTTCGAGCGGAGAGAGCGGGGCCGGGGAGGCCGGCGCCTCTGCCATCTTCGCCGCCCGCCCGCCCGCGGCTCGGGCTCTCGCGCTCTCCTCTCGCGCCGGGGCGGGGTGCGGCGGGGGAGGGATGGGGGCGCCGCGAAGACTCGGGATCCCGGGCGCCGCCGTCGCCGCTACTGCCGCCGCCTGGGGAAGCACGAGAGAAGAGAGAAGGAGAGTTGGTTATCCCGGGCTGCAGCCCAGTCCTCGCCCGCCGCCGCCGCGGCCACCGCTTCCCGATCGCACCGCGCCCGCCTCCCAGGAGCAGGCAGACCTGGAGACGTGCGTCCCGCGGACCTGGCGCAGCAGACGCGGCCCCCCTACCAGGCCGCTGGGGAGACTGGAGCGAATGGACGGGCTCTCACGGGGCACTCCCCACTCCCCCCGCCGCCGCCGCGGAAGCTGCAGGTCTCTCCTGGGCTAGGTGGCGGGGCGGGGAAGAAGGGGGAGGGGCGGGGAAGAAGGGGGAGGGGCGCGGGCCGCGCCTTTAAAGCGGGCAGCAGCCCGAGCTGGCGCAGCCCAGCCGTGGTCGGAGCCCGAGTCTGGGCGGGCGTGCGTTTGTTTATGTTTCGCTCCAGCCCGCTCAAGTGCTTCCCGCGGCGACGCCGCCAAAGTCTGTGGCGTCTTCGGCTTTTCTCCCAGTCCCTGGCCCTGCCGCCTCCGCGCCCCCCTGCCACCCCCCCTCCTAACGGAGGGCCCAAGCCCGGGGAAGGCGCGGGCAGCTCCCCTCTCCCCTCTTCGCCCGCGGGCTGAGAGGGTGAACGTGGGTCCGAGAGCAAACGGGCTCTTGTCACTTCCAGAAAAAAAGGAAAGAGGGAAGAAGGGGGGCAAGCAGCTCAGCGGGTATTTGCAAAGGGTCGAGCCGAGCAGCAACGGCCACTTTGGGGGTTTGTGTGGTTTATTTTCCCGCGGGCGTCGTGTACTCCACCCCCTTCCCTGTAAGAGCGAGAGGAGGGGGCAAGTCGGAACGTCAATCTTCCAACAGGTCGGGAAGCACCAAGTCTCCCGGGCCGCCAGAAAACCCGGACCAGCACGTTCATCACCTCCTGGCTCCCGCTGCTGCCATCTTGACAGTTTCCCCCTTCACTCAAGTCCTTTAAAAACACTAGCGGGAGAGAAGAGCGGCGCGCACACCGAGTCACGGGGAGGGAAAAGGGAAGCGCCTGGCCCAGCTCAGAAGCAGATCCGGAGTCACCGGGAAGGCGGCCGACCCGCTGCACAGCTCCGGCGCCTACCTGGGTTCCTTCTCTTCAGGAACGAGGGGGGAGGACTCACAATCCCGCGCGGGGCCGGGGCAGGGCGAGGAGGGGGCGCGCAACCTCGGCCAAGAAGAGGCGCTCCAGCAGCCGCCGCAGCCCGCCTGAAGAACCGCCTGTCAGCCTGCGCGCTGCTGCCTTCCACATTCCTCCTCCTCCCTTCCACGAGCAGGGCGGCCGCGGCAGCAGCACAAAGTTATAGACACACGCAGGGTGCCTCAACCTAAGCTGACGGCGGGCGGGCGGGTCCCCGCCCAGGGGGAGGGCTGGGCGGCGGGCCCGGGTGTGCTGGTGTGCGTGTGTGTGCGCGCGTGTGTGTGTGTGCGCGCGCGCGCCTGCGCGACCCGGCCCCGCGGAGCCGCTGGCTTGGGTGTGAGGCCGCGCGCCGGGGGCCGGGACTCCGCAGGCTCCAGCCGCGGTCCCCGCCGGGCTCCTCCTCTCTCCCGCGAGCCTCAACAACAAAGGGCGGCGCTGGCCCAGGAGAAGGTGGGGGGGCCGCAGAGCCCCAAACCCTCCACCAGCGCAGTCGCGTGGCCTCCCTGACTCGGAGCAGGGCGCCTGGCACCGGGGGTCCCCAGCTAGCGCGTCGCTTCGCCAGGCTCTGCGCCCGCCCTGGTGTCCGGTTCCCCATTAGAACCCGACACCCAGGTAACACCCGAGATAAGATGCTGACCGTAGATGGCAAGGGTTACCTCAGCGTGAAAATACTGGCAAGCGAAGATGTTGGTGCCCTCAGGACTTCGATAAACCGATGCCCTCAGATTTGATCAGGCACCAAGAGGTTTGCACTAACCTAGGACGCTTGACCGCAATCGTGTTTCACTTTTCGTGAATTTCACGGCAAACGAGGGGAGAAGTGTAACTCGGGAGAAAAGCAGATTATTCCACATTCCTAAATGCAAGAACAAATTCTGAACAACTGTGAATGGGAAATAATGAGTCTAATTTTAAAATGACGGCGAAACACCTAATTGTGCATTTTTTACTTTTTAAAAGAAAGCTACTCCTTTAGGTTTAGAAAAATATCTTCACAAGTCCTTATCCTACGATCAGTACCCAAAGTCGTTCATTTGTGCACTAAGAATGCAAGACATGCGACACGCACACCAAAATTCTATCCGCTTTGGTTTATAAATATCTTTCCCCGCCCCCACCCCCCAAATCCTTCCAAGTCACTAGAAATATCTTGGAGTCCAAAGCGGACTCCGCAACAACCCTGTACACAAAAAGGTCCAACCCAGCGTACCCAGGAATCCGCCCACCCGGCCGAATCCAGGCTCCGGGCTTTGCGTAGGACCCGTCACTCAAGTGACGCGAGGCCCCGCCCCTGCACCAAGCTAGTTCGACGCGTACAAACAGATGATGTCATTGTATCCACAAGCGCGTGACCCGGGATCTCTGCGCCGCGTCGCCATTCGCTGCGCCGCTTACTCGTCAAGCCGCGCCGCTTACTCGTCAAGCCACGCCGCGCGCTGACTGGCCGCGGCCACCCGTCACCAGGCCCCAGACGCCCCTCTCCGCCCCCCGCCTCCGCCCCCCAACAAATAATAAACAATCGAGTAAAATTCGAAGGAAGGAAGGAGGAGAGGATAGAGAGAGGGCGAACCAGAAGGCAATCCTCCGCACGCTGATGGGAGGGAGAGTTAAAAGGAGAGGGACGTGAGAAGACCGGGGAGGGGAGGGAAGGAGCAGACCTGAGACGATGTGTCCAGCCGCGATGAGGTGGCATCAGGGGAGGAAAGTTGGAGAGCATTCTGCGGGGCACGCCTGGTAATACGGGGGGGCGCTAGGGCCCGGCAGCGGCTGGTCTCGGGGCTCCTGGGCGGTGAGCGGCCCGCCGAAGGGGCGGAGACTGGGCCGCGCTAGCGCAACTCGGGCGGAGCCGGCAGACACGTGCGGGAGGAGGGCGGGCGCGCGCGCGCGGGCGCGCCTCACAGGCTCGCCCTGGGCGCGCGGCACCAGCAGCAGCGCGCGCTTGTTTACCAGCGCACGTGGGTGTTATTTTTAAACGGAATGTTGTGCTGGCAGCTCAGCGGAGTGGCGGGCGCGTGGGGCCGCCCGCGCCGGCTGGGGGACGCGGCGGGGCCCGCGCCACGGCCTCTACGAGCGAAGCTCAGGGGCCAACAAGGCTGTCCCCACTGCGGGCACTTGTGCAGCCGGCCGCTCCGGCTGGGAGCCTGATTGCGAGTTTCGCGCGCTGTCCAAGCCCCTACCGAGACAAGTGTTCTCGCCGCGGAACGCTGCCTTTTGTAAGCTCGGCCTCGGCTCTCTTATTCACATCCCGGGAACAAAGCCACCTCTTTCTTTTCGCCCTGGAGGCCGCGCCAGGCCGGGCTCCGCGGCCACCCGTTCCGGAGTAGAGTTCACACGTTCACACACTCATTGGCACAAAATACCGTCCACGAGGTGGATTCTCATCACCCTTCGTGGTTTGTGTCCCAGCTCCCTTGCTACGAATGTCCCCGGTCCATCTGTGCCCGTCTCTTGGGCACACATCTCTGCCCACGTACATCTGCCCTTCTACTTCGGTTGTCTGCGGAAGGGGAGGTCTGGGGTAGAGGTCTCTGCTTCCTGGGCTTGACCCCTCTGCGTGCGGCCCCTCTCCTCTCGTTGTGTGCCTGTCCCACTGAGAAGCCCAGAGTTTGCATTTCGTTTATAAGGTGGCAGTGTGGAAGATGATGTACGATCGCAGCGCTCAGCTTCAAGTGCCCAAGGCTGGGTAGAATTCATTACCCTGAGTCTGATTTTCTGCTTTGCACGAAGAAACAGGAGGCCAGATTACCCAGGGCTTTGCACTGTGGTAGAGCATAAAATCCAAAGAACTTTCAGTTGCTTCTTTTTAATACTTTAACACACTGTAAAAGAAATCACCCTTTTTCTTCTCTAAATCTAAGCAATCCTTTGTCATTAAGACATAGAAAGAATGTGTTTACACTGGCCAGGCTCTCAGCCATTATATTTTCACTATAAACATGTTGAGTGTCCATTTACAGAATGCATATCCCAAGGGCATTCCAAAAAAAATGAAAGAGTTAAAAGATTCAGTAGATTAATTGAGCTCATTGTGACCCTCTTGGTGATTAACAGGGGTAGGGACATAATAAAGCTCTTTCCCTCCAAAAGCTTTACAGTCTTAGGGGGATGAAACGTTTAAGAGTTCAGTATTTCAAGAGCTTAAAAGCAGTACAAGACAAATACAAGAGGTCATACATACAGTGTTGGGTAATTTTCTAATGAGTTGAGGATCAAAACTTCAAATGGCAGTGACTATAAACATTCAGTCTGGTAAATGTGAATCTTACCCAAAGAATTAACACTTGTAATGTGTCCCTATAAGCAAGCCTTTGAAAACTCAGAGTGATTGTTTCCTTTTAGCCTGAAAATGCTTTGACCTTTGCTTTCTTCTTGAAGGCTTCCTTGGTCCTTCATTTCTTCACCCAAGTGTTTAGTATAGGAAATCTGAATAAGTTATGGTTGTTGATTAGGAAAGAGTGCCAGCATTACCTTTGCAGTAGAATTTTTTAACAAAATTTTCCCTACTTATCATACCGTGTTTATTTCTACAATGATTTAAGGTGGCAACTGTCCACTCCATTTTGTAAATTCAATCACTGGAGGAACAAACATTTTTTTAAAATTTTTACTTGAATAAGCTAAGTAATCTGCTAAAACTGTTATCCTTATAAAACAGGAAGAGACATTAGATATCTTTCTCTCCACTATGTGAGGACACAGTGAGAAGGTGGCTATCTGCAAGCCAGGAAAAGAGCTCTCACCAGAAACCAAATCCTATTGGAAACTTGATCTTGGACTTCCCAGCCTCTGGAATGTGAAATTATTTCTTTGATCAGAAGCAGTGCCATGTTAGAGCACTGGAATCACAACTAGATGCTGAACAATCATTGACAGGAAGACACTGGAACTCACCAAAAAAAGATACCCAACATCCAAAGACAAACGAGAAGCTGCAATGAGACAGCAGGAGGGGCACAATCACAATAAAATCAAATCCCATAACCGCTGGGTGGGTGACTCACAAACTGGAGAACACTTATAGCACAGAAATCCACCCACTGGAGTGAAGATTCTGAGCCCCACGTCAGGCTTCCCAACCTGGGGGTCTGGCAACAGGAGGAGGAATTCCCAGAGAATCAGACTTTGAAGGCTAGCGGGATTTGATTGCAGGACTTTGACAGGACTGGGTGAAACAGAGACTCCACTCTTGGAGGGCACACACAAAGTAGTGTGCACATCGGGACCCAGGGGAAGGAGCAGTGACCCTGTAGGAGACTGAACCAGACCTACCTACTAGTGTTGGAGGGTCTCCTGCAGAGGTGGGTGGTGGCTGTGGCTCACCGCGGGGACAACAACACTGGCAGCAGAAGTTCTGGGAAGTACCCCTTGGCGTGAGTCCTCCTGGAGTCTGCCATTAGCCCCACCAAAGAGCCTGTAGCCTCCACTGCTGGGTTGCCTCAGGCCAAACAACCAACTGGAGGGAACTCAGCCCCACCCATCAGCAGACAAACAAAGTTTTACTGAGCTCTGCCCACCAGAGCAACACCCAGCTCTACCCACCACCAGTCCCTCCCATCCAGAAGCTTGCACAAGCCTCTCAGAGAGCTTCATCCACCAGAGGGCAGACAGCAGAAAAAGAAGAACTACAATCCTGCAGCCAGTGGAACGAAACCCACATTCACAGAAAGATAGACAGAATGAAAAGGCAGAGGACTATGCACCAGGTGAAGGAACAAGCTTAAACCCCAGAAAAACAACTAAATGAAGTGGAGATAGGCAACCTTCCAGAAAAAGAATTCAGAATAATGATAGTGAAGATGATCCAGGACCTCAGAAAAAGAATGGAGCCAGAGTTCGAGAAGATGCAAGAAATCTTTAACAAAGACCTAGGGACTTCCCTGGTGGCGCAGTAGTTAAGAATCCACCTGCCAATGCAGGGAACATGGGTTCGAGCCTTGGTCCAGGAAGATCCCGTATGTCACGGAGCAACAAAGCCCATGTGCCATAACTACTGAGCCCGCACACCACAACTACTGAAGCCCTTGTACCTAGTGCCTGTGCTCCGCAATGAAAGAAGGCACCGCAATGAGAAGCCCACGCACCTCAACGAAGAGTAGCCCCAGCTCGTCGTAACTAGACAAAGCCAGCGCACAGCAACAAAGACCCAACACAGTCAAAAATAAATAAATAAATGGCCTCCTCCTTTAAAAAAAAAAACAAACAAACACCTAGAAGAATTAAAG